GCAAGGCCATGGCTTACAAGATAAATGGTAACCTGTTCACTGTGGGCATAGGTAAGATGCTGGTTAACTTTTAGACTGCTGATAAGTTCAGAGAAATTTATAACAAATAACAATCCTTGCATTTAATATAGCGCTTTTCACGTCTTCCAAATGTTTCAAAGCGCTTCACAGAATATACTGTAAAGTGAATTGACTGTTTACTTTTGTGGGCGAAACCCAGCAGCCAATTTCACACAGCAGCATCCTACATAAAGTCATGGATTGAGTGACCAAATTATTTATTTATTTTCTGAGGGATTATTATCAGGTGCGTGGAGTAAGGAAACTTGCCCAAGGTTTCGTCCTTGTGAGGCGAGTGCTCTAACCACTGAGCTACAGGACTCCAAAAATTCCAGGTTCCCTGAATTGGTTATTTCTTTTAAATGTTCAGTTCCTTGGCTGTCACCAAAGCAAACTCTCATATTACATTCTCCAAATATAAGGGGTAACTTTATTGCTTTTATATTAACCCTGTACAATCAAAATAAACAAAAATTAAAATAAGGATACAACGGTGTAAACATCTCTGATCGTTTGTTCTATTTTCCCCCATTCTTTCTCCCTTACCATGCTCTTCTGTTACTTGCATTTTTATTAGAACTATTATTATATAAAATACTTTTATTTTGTCTCATATGAATATTCTGCCTGTTCATACCATTTTCGTATATGATTTTTTAAACAAATAACTATTTTCCCCTATCATTCCTTCTCACAGCCCATTTTAAACATTCAATCAAATAGCCTCCAACTGGTCAATAGAAATCTAGAGTCTTAAGATGTTTATACATTTATATTAGAGCCACAATAGGTCACATTTTAAGGCAATTTGGGGAAATCTGTTCAATTTTTGACAGACGATGTTACTTAGTTGTAGTGCAAGTAAAGGTTAATCTACTGATAGTATTGAAAACCAGATTGAATCAAGCTGGAACATGGCTTTCATGCAGTGATAATTCAAATGTTATCGATGCTTGTACACAAGAGAAATGTTTTGCCTTCCACAGTCCACCGTAATAAGTTTCATTATAGTCAGCAAAAACAACAACAACAAAATTACATTTATGTAGCGCCTTTCACGTTGGGAGGATGTCCCAAGGCGCTGTATAAAAGCGTCAAGGTTACAAATAATAGCAATAACTGAACTGAGCTGAATCAAAGTAAAACTATTGCAACTGATATCTTCTATTATTAATTGTATCCTAAAGAGGAAAACAATGTGGATCATACTCACAACACAAGAAGTATTTATTTTTTCAAAATCATTTTGCCTGTGTACAGTTATAACTGAGATCAAATCTCCAGTATTCCTAAATGTAATCCATTCCTTAATTACCACCAGAATAGATGAGAAATGTTTTATCATCTGGTGATTGCTCCACCCCCCACCACCACCCCATGGCAAGTTTGGGGTTCAACACTCCCCTGAGTTTGGGAGAATGTTTATTTCCCTCAGGATTTCCATCAGTCTGGCCATCACTGTTTTGTAGAAATATTAACAAGATGCAATTTTTTGATTCCCAGTTGTAATAACAGATTTATAACTTGTTTTTAACGTGAAATTATTTTTGGCTCATATCTAGAAAAATGCATGCTTTCTGTGGCCTGATTAGAGACAAGTTGGGAAAGATGAGTCCAATATACCTCGAGAAGCTTGAGAGACACAAGCCTAGTAAATTATTGCCAGTACACAGGCACTAATTTAGAAATGGAAAGCATTAAGAAATAGCATAATTTTGAACCCTATAATAATAGTCTTTATCTTTGATCATATCACATCAAAACATTTCAAACCTCATCACAGTTTATAGTAAAGTATAGTGATTGTATAGTGTAGATGAACACAGCTGACAATTTATGTACCACAGTCTCCTTCATACAGCTAAAAAGTGATGACCAATTTTAATTTTGGGGGTCTGTTAGCCAGGATACTGGAAGAAGCTCTTCTCTGTTTCAAATAGTGCGAAGAGATCTTTTACATGAACAGGCAGACAGGAGCTCAGTTTTATCTATCATCCGAAGGACAGCATTTCTGACAATGCAGCACTACCCCCCAGCCCTGCAGTGAAGTGTCAGCCTGGACTGTGAGCTCAGAATCCTGATGTGGGGATTAAATCAACAAACCTCTGGCTCAGAAGCAAAAGCGTTATCAAATGAGCTAGGCTGGAACCTAATTAATATAATTAATGTGTCAGCAAAAGATCTTGAATTGATAGGATATCTGATGAACAAACCATAATCCTTCATAAATTGTCATGTTTAAGACTAATAGTGATGGAGCTTCATCTCAAAGCAAGCTCCATAACCAGCTGACTAGTGGAAATGACTAGGGAATGTGAGTAAAGACACTTGAATAAAATGTTTTGCTCAAAAAAATGAAATGGAAAATTTGGCCTATTACAAACCCTTAGTTACTTAACTAATATAAGAATATTTACAAGCTGTTGAACTCTTTTCTTACACATTGGACAGTGCAAGACCAGCAGTGAAATATTGAGTGCAAATGGTGTTCAATTCTCCTAACCTGGTGCTTTGAAAATGTTTTTTTTTCCTTTTGTTAAAGATAAATGGAGAATGGTTGCGTGCAGTCTCATTTATTCTTATTTTAGGACTCAGAGATACAGTCAAGATGAAATACTGATATATCTGTGTTTTGTTCTTTGTTATGTACGTAAAGGCAGTGGTCAATTGTGCAAAGTGCTGTATTGATATTAAGCAAACCTTTTTTTTACATTTACAAATTATTTCTTTGTATTTCCTTGTCTACTTTTTATATTTTCTTCAGCACTTGTTATTCAAAGTAGTATATCTTATACCATGAAGTAAAAATTAAATTGAGAGCAGGAGAATGTGAGGACATTAATTCTGTGAAAATAATATTAGCACTTTTATAGTGACAGATGCATTACACTAATCATCCATCAGATGTGGCTTTCAGCAGGTAACAATGATGTATCACAGCTACCAGGAGGGGATTGATCTTACTAAGGCCTTGAATTCTCACTCAGAAAGTGTTCATTCACGTTTTTTAGTGGGTATTGTAAAACATATTAATTTTGACATATTTTACAAAGAAAACACTCCTATTTGACATTCTTAAATTGATATACAGCATGTTGTCGTGACGCTAAAAATAATTTGGATGCAGCCTTTTTTGCTTTTAAGTGGAGAAGTGTTGTTTTTGCACCTTATTTTCGGGTTTTTAGCACGTAGAAAGGTTGTGGTTGAGCTGCATTTCATAAGTACATTGATGAATGGGAGGGTAGCTTATCCCACTTATTAGCCACTTTTTCCCAGTGGGAAATATGAGATTGGATTTCACCATGCAGTGCCGTAGGCAGGGTATAGTACAAACCAAATAAATAGTGCCCCAAGCCCTTCAGGGGGGAGTTGAATAGAATGGAAAATAACCTATTCTTTATAATTCTAATTTGTTATATTTAATTCTAATGTTGCCGTATTATATTATTTCCACTTTTAACATAATAACATAGCTAAAACAAACTAGAGAAGCTACAGGGGTCTATTTGTTGCAGCAATTTCTAACTGGATTCCTTTATTAAGGAGAACTCCTTAGAGTAACCTGATGTATGTCACACTAACCACGCTCCAAAGTATGTGTTATGGAGGAGCGGAGTTCCCATTAGTCAGCCTAACACACTTGTGCTTTTCTTAATTCAAGAAAGTAATGCACATTAGACCCCAATATACAACACAAAATTTACATTTGTATAGCACCTTCTATGTCGGAAGGATGTCCTAAAGCACTTGACAGTCCAGGATTGGCACCTGAGCTTGCGTTTGGAGCCGAGTGAGTAGGGAAGGGAAAGAAGATCAAAGGCACGGTCAAAGAGGAGGATCTTGAGACAGACCTTGAAAGAAGTGAGGGAGGAAGTGTTATTAAAATATTAAAACTTCTCTCAGTACAAAACATTTATTTGGTGTGTATATGATGCACATTTTTCATCAAAAAAAACGGATTTGTCAAAGCGTTCTGATACCAAATCACACAAGCAGTTGAATGTTATAAATAAAAAAAAACATAACGGTGAAGTTGAAAAATTTGATCATTTACAGTGGGATTCACTAATACTGACTCAAGACTCGCTAACAGGGAATTCTGTCTAACTGGCCAACTTATCAGAACCCTGGATAACTTGTCTGATCCTTGCTCCAAAGCGCTAGAAGTTCCTACGAGGTGTCTGTGACACGCTGCCAGTTTCTGGCAGGAAGCCTCGGAAATGAATAAAAGGCAAAGTACTGCAGATGCTGCAAATCTGAAATAAAAACCGAAGTCGCTGGGAACACTCAGCAGGTCAGGCAGTGAACGTTTCAGGCCGATGACCTTTTGTCACCCAGAGGCTTCATTCAGTTCAGATGAAAGGTCATCGAGCTGAAACTTTCACTCACTTTCCTCTCTCCGTAGATGCTGCCTGATCTGCTGAGTGTTCTCAACGATTTCTGTTTCTATTCTTAGTAAATGAAGTTGAGACACGATTTGTGAATCTGTTTGGAATTATTGCTTTTTTGACCCCCTCGATAATATGCTAAAGACAAATTTTTATTATTATGCTGTTTATTATATCTATACAATATACTCACACTTCTCAGTAAAGCTGCCTGTGGAATTATATTGAGACATCCCACTACATTAACAAGTATTCTTGGCCTGCCCTACGTTCCTGGTATCCCGTTCCAAATGTTTAATAACATTTGTGTAAATAAATACTTCCTGTTTTCTCTGTTTTTGATACTCTTTAAGTATGGTGATGGGTTTCCTTCAGTATGTCTGAGACACCCAGCTGACAAAAAAAATGTCAACCACGTGTGTACGGAGGGAATTACGGGTGCAATGAATATTATTATTAAACAAGGAAAAGGACGACAGGTGATTGTGGTTTTGTGATAGTGTTCTAGTGACGTTCTGTGAGGCTGCTCTAAACTGTACCTATTATTCCCAGCAGTGGATGAAACATTCGAGGACGATGCTTCAGAAACAGCCATGGAAAAGAAATAAATTTGTCTCCATTAAACAAAGCAAGGGCTGAAGAAAGATGAACAAGAAAACTCAATAAAATCTTTGATAATCTTTGATGTTCAAGGCAGCCGCATATTTTGGCCAGTTGCTGTACTTTTGATTTTTCATATAGCATAGGTTAAAACATGATTAAGACAACTAAGCAACACTGAAGAAGATCTTATTCTTTACAACCAACTTCACTGAGAATAACTCATGGAGCCTTATTTCTTTGCTTGCTCTTCTAAAGCCAAAGGAAGCAAATATAATAACTTTGATGTCCCTGTGTTGTGTATTTTTATGTTACTAAATCAGACCTCTAAATAAGGGTATTATTCAGTTGTAAGTTCCAAAAATACATTCTGGGATATAGAATGCACCTCTTTTTATCAATGCAATAATAGTTCTTGAAAATTGCAAATAATGAACGAAAATGAATATGCATTATTAACAGGAAACATTTGGATTGAACTAAAGCAATTGTGACACACACGTATTGCTTCAAATAATCATTCTGGTTTGTTGTGTTTGTTATTCATAATGCATAATATCACTTCATATCACACACCTCTTTGGCCGTCATTAGTTCAGCAAATCAACAGTGGAATTATGCACAATCCAACCCTAATAGAGCACTTGATTCTTTAGGAGTCTACCAATGTCACTAAATGTATTGTTCCTTCAATCAATCGATATTTTCTAGAGTCCAGAGCATAAAATTAAAGGATGGGCTGAAGGACCTTCTTTATCCGAATCTCTCATGATTACTATGTTTAAGAAACTTTTTGCTACCAACCTTGTGAACCTGTTAGAAATTTTGAAAAACTGGCCTTGTTTAAAATAAAAGTGGTGTAGACAATGTTTTTTCTGATTGTGGGGTCTATTTTTATACACCGGTTGCAAAATGTGAATAATTTGCTCATTTAAAAAAACAAAGTAAAATGTTAGCCTTGTGTGGCCTTTATTAATAAGCCTTTAAAAACAAAACTCTCTAACATAGCACTGACAATCTGATGCAGAGAAGCCAGAAAGATAACTGGTGCAGCAATTCAGCATATTAGAAACTGAGATGAAAGGATTTACCTATGATGAGAGGCTGGCTACATTTGGGTTAAACATTTCTGCTGCTGAGGAGGTTAAAGTGTGATCTGCTTGAGATGTTTAAAATTGTGACAGGAATTGACAAGCTGAATACAGGATTCCCCTTCATCTAGCAGAGGGACCCGAAACAAGGGGACGTACAATTCACTCCCATTGTAGTGCAAATTCATTATAATCTAGTTACACTGTGGATCATATTTAATGCTCATGTGCATATATTGTGACAGTCTGCTCAGTTCCTACCGCTGGCTGTCTTGCAAAGCAGGAAATGCCGTCGGCAGTGACCGATTGACCTGGAAGTTGGCCCATTTTTAACACAGGAAATACACCGCAGAAAGACAGTTGTGTATTTTCACAGTGAAAACATCTACCACTATTACTCTCGTGTAGTTGAGATTTTTTGGGATCCCGAACACTATTCTAATGAGCCCCATAACAACATAAGAATTTGCTAGGCAAAAGAAAACCATTGTCCATTCAGTTCACCTTCCACCATCCTGGCAGTCACAAGCATATGTCTTCCTATAGTGTTAAAATTAGAGCTAAGGTAGACTCACCGTCTGATTCTCTGTAGGTTATCAAAGATGAAAGCATGTTAATAATAAATAATAATACTTACGTTCGATAGAGTGCCTTATCACACTGTTGAGATATCTCAAAGCGTTTCACAGGGGCTGATATTATCCTTAGAAGAATACTTTTGGCCAGCTGGGAGTCTGACACATATGGAAACCCATCACTAAGCTTAAGAGTATCCAAACCCAGCGGAGATTTCCACGCATCCCACCAATACATGAAAACCCCAGAGATAGATTGTTGAAATGGAATGCACACTCTCTCCATGGAGGGACGCTTCCTATTTACTTAATTTCTGAAAATATTAGGCCCAGGTTGGCAAGAGCCAAGTCTTGGGGACCCAACAGTGTGCGTTGGGGTACTACTGGAGTCTAACCAGTCTAAAACCGCAAAGCTTCCCATTGATACCGCTGTCCCGCTGCTTGTCCAGCTAGGACCACTCTACACGTTAGGGCTTTGGCATGCTGGGGTAACAGGAGCTGAGTGGGATCACTCCCTGTCCCAGTGACTGGTCTGCCCTTCCAGGTCCTACCGATGAGCCAGGCTGGTTGTGCTGTCATTAACCTTGTCCTAGAATACTGCAGACCAGCCTGGCTCAGGAACTGGAATACCAAGACCTCCACAGAGGGCTGGCTCAATTAGGCATTCCATTGCCAAACATGCCAGTTCAGCTCCAAGGAGACCCCATTTACCTTCCTTCCTCCTCCCCACCTCCCCCACCACCACCTCAAGGAGGAATGGCATGAGAAGATTACTGCACATGCCATTCCTCAATGCAGGTTATATGCCTGGAGTCAAATCTCATGATGTAGATTGCAATCATTAATGGTTACAACTTAAATTTACATGGTGCCTTAATATAAAAAAGGATGTCTTGGAAGAGCTTTACAAAATGAGATTAATAAGAAATGAAGTGAATGTTTTTATGTAGGGATACAGTTATTGGACAACCAGACAGAATGGGTTCTTACTAATTGATCCATGGCCACTACAGCAGATTAGCACTACAATGTGGAGTATTTGCTTGCTGAATATTGAAGTGGGAGCAAATGTTCTGTCAATACTGCAAGTGTGGAACCTTTCACTGTCTCCCTGGGAAAAAATCAAGTGCTCATTGTTGAGGCAGTGTAGTGGAAACTCAATATTCCACCTGACTTGTGCTAAATCTGATCTTGAAATGTTGCACTTACGAGGTTTAAACAGCAAAGACAATCTGTTCCCACTGCTGTCATTCATCACATCTTGGAGTACGAAACGCCAAGTTTACATAAACCACTGGCATATGGTTATCTCAACAGATGATTCAGGCTCGAAATGCAGCATTGTCAGTCAGTTCAGCAGTAGGGCTTTTTCATCTGGACCAGAAGGTTTGTGATACTCTCCTCCAGACTGGCATTTTGTTTTAGAAAAAAAATCATTAAAATCTCCTTCATGACAGGAGTCATTCCTATTTTAATCTGAATTCCTCTCCCTGTGGAGACCCTTCAGTTTGAGCCTCTGATAATGACAGTGACAAGGAGCATCAATGAGAAACTCCACTGGATATCCCTTAGATCAGCATCTCGACCAGTTCCGGATAGCCATATGAAGGTTTTCAAGCTGGTAAAATTCAATAGCAGCTCAAAACTGCTGTGTGCACAGCTGGTACTGAATTATGCTGCATCTTTAGTCTCCCAATGAGGATCTGGCCCAGATGTAATTCCACATTTATACTACTGGAAGTGATGTCATATCACTTCCAGTTTTAGATCCATTAAACCCTGCAGATGTGTTTCTTGGAGAGGTAGATTTTGACTTTCCCTTCAGAGAACTTTACTGTTCTTGTATCTCAGCCTTTAGTGCTGTATAACAAATCCTCTCAAACTCATCAAGTTAAGGCTGTTAGAAACTGACTTCCTATTTCTTCAGCTCCAATTTTAACAACTTATATTTATATAGCGCCCTTCACATGGGGTAGTGTCCCGAAGCGCTTCCCAATGGAGGTGTACAACAACGAGCCAGGGGGAGAGGGAGGGGCGAGATGACTAAATATGATTTAAGAATTTGTTCAAATATTAAAAAGCTCCTTCAGTTCACTTGATCTCATCCTTCCAGAATACGCTGTCTTCACAGCATCAAGCTGCTTTCAAAAACCACCCTTCCAGTCATTAATTATCCTGGTAAAGACAATCTTCCTGGTGTCTGTTCTGAAAATGCACTTTGCAATTTCACACTCATTGTACTGTATTATTGCATGCTGAAGTATTGATCTGGGTTTACTTTCTCAATCCCATTTAAAATCTTAAACATTTCTATGAGATGACTTCTCTCCAGAATGAAAAGCTCTAGCTTGTCTAATCATTGCTCATAGAAGCTCATTCCTTTAACATTGAGGATCAACTTTGTCGCTCACCTCCGCACTGTCTTAGGACCTGAGCAGCTGCCTTATGTCACAGTGACTAGAACTGTATGCAGTCCTCCAGGTGAGTCTGGCCAGAGCGCTATATAGATATCTGAACTCAACTGATCTAGCAATATAACCCAGTATCCTGTTTACATTATTTATTGCTGCCCACACTATGTCAGTATGACATCCTCCTGACTTAAACAACAACTGTATAGCATTGTTCACATCAGGCTGGGGGTGGGGTGGTGGGGGGATTGGTGGGGGCAGCTGAAGAGGGTGGAAAGTGGAAAGACAACCAAAAGTGCGGTCAAAACAGCTACATCTTGAGGTGGGTTTTGAGGGGTTCTCCCCCAAAACACGATAAAATCACATGCAACTGAACATTGCGGAAGATGTTACAGTTACACCCAGGTAAGTGCTATTTGAAGAACAGCACAATACGCATCCACCAAAATAAAAGCATAATAATATCCGCTTTCAAGCATTTTTTTTCATTATCTGTGGCAAGGTAAGCATATTGCCATGAAAGAAATTAGATTTCCTGAATATCTTCATGAAACTGATACGATAAAGATAACAGTGTTGATACACCAAGTTGATTTAAAATACATGATCAGTTGTTGTACAATAATACTCGTTGACTATCTTTGGAAATGTCACATTGCTTTTCCCAGTCACCCTCTCTTGTTAAAAAGACTATATCAGAAAAAGTGTATAATAGGGCCACACCACATCAGTTTATAATTATTCCACCTGTAAAGTCACTACATTTTACAGTCAATCCTATGAAGCGATTTGCAACATCCTACCAACCTAAAGGTCACAATGTCAAATGCAAGGATTATGATTATTATTTTCTCAACTATTGCTCAAGTCTCTCTCCATTCGATTTTCTCTGATGTTTTTGAGAGACCTAACTGTAAGGGCAGGAGTTCTCTTTCCTACAGGAATTCCAATATCCTAATCCACAACAACAACAAATCTAGACAATCTTCAGTTTAAAACAGAACAAGATCATGAGCAGTTCAGATGAAGAAGCCCCTCCAATCCATTTAACCTTCTAGAATATCCATCCTTCTCATTATATCAAGCTGTTCTTAAATGGACCCATTGTCTTATTCTCAATGACTCTTCCTGATAACCTATTTCAGTTGTTAACCTCTCTCTTTGTAAAACAGCCTGCAAATGCACATATCCGCAGACTTGGCAGATACCTTGAACTGCTGAGATCCTCAAAGAAAGTGCATAACATCTTATTTGTAACATCATTTGACGAGAGAAAGATAGAAGTGAAGTGAAGGTGAAAGGAAGAGATATAAGGCTTTGGGCCGGGGAAAGATTACAATCAGATTATAAACTGAGGCAAAGACTGGAAAGAATAGAGTAAAGCAAGAAAAGAACTAAAAGCAGCAACAAAAAAATACAGAAACAGAAAGAAGTACTGAAAGCAGAGAATTAGAATTTCACAGTGAACTATGTCAAATATCCAAGTTATGATATTTCTGTAAACAAAGCCTGATCTTAGTGCTCTTTAGGACACAACATATATCATTTCTCCTCAAGCCACATAATTTGATTGCTGGCTCTATCAAGCCTCTTCTGTCCATGAAGCCCTCCAGCAAAAGAAACAGTGAATATGGAAAATGGGACTTTTGATTAAGTATGAAGAGTGACACACTCCTCACTATGCTCCAAGACACTCATACACTGCAGACTGTGCTGTATACTTACAGGATTTTTTTTTTTGTGTATGCATAATAAGAACAAACCACTAAGTGCAGCCTCAGACCTTCCCAGGAT